TTACCCAGAATGCTTTGTGTGTAAATAAAATGGCTCTGTCCGTGTAAAATATTTTTAAACTTTTAGTTTAAAAATTATAAAAACTAAACAGACTAMAGTATTTTTACAGTCTTTTATTTTACAGTTAAAATATATGTTTATCAAATAAAGTCTAATGTTACAAACTAATCGGGGATCCCTTTAACAAAGCCATCAATGCTGAGTCTCTTCGGGGCCCCAGGGCCAAAACGTTTAATTAGTTCCCTCATGATCCTCCCAATAACTGTTTGTTTTGTGTTTAATCCTGAAGGACAGAGCAACCAATCAACACTTTTTATCTTCAAAGACAAACCGATCGTTTTGGTTGGAAATTAAAATTTTCAACTTGTTCGTCCGCAGCCAGCTGAGGGGAGTGTCAGATAAAGGAAATTATGTGATGCTTGGTGAGATTATTTTTAATGCTCGTTGGCGTTCAGTGTTTACGGCTGCTGGTTGTGAGCACAGCTGCAGCTGCTCGGTCCGCCCGTATCGTCACCGAATCAGTGCTAATATGGAAATGTCCAGCTGTGCTGCTGAAACCCCAGCTCCAGCTGCAGGCAGAAACATATTATCAGTTTTAGCAATCTGAATATAATGAAGCGTGTTTCTGGCAAATAGATATGGGATWGGAAATAACCTCTTGATATTCTACACCAGTTAACATTTAATGGATATGAAGACCTGTGTCAGGAAGCCTCCATAAAGACTGCATTAATATCAGCTCATGTTCAGCTCTCCACAGACTTTAATGTTTCCAAGAACAAATCCTGCTTTTCATTACATTAATCCATACAGTCTTTGGCCCTCTCTTGTATGAGTCTTACTTGTTATATCAGAAGGCACTTAGGTAGAACTAATTACTTTAGCAATATTTTTTCAGTTGAGTCAGTCAGCCAGTGAGTCACATTAACACAGTTTGGAACTTGTTTATTCACAGAAAAGCAAAATCTTGCTTTAATGCGTTTGAAAAAAAAAGATGACGATGACGAGGAAAATGTTTTTAAATCAATGATCCGTTGATCTGTCTCTGCTGCATCCCACTGCATGATTAAATGCACACTTTRGTGCGTAACTATATTTCGTAACTGCGTTTGTGTATAATTGGATTTTATGTAACTGAGTTTAAATAGGGTCTATGTGCTGTTTTGCGCTGTGAGCAGATGTTTTTCTTGAAWTGCACCCTGAATGCAAAACTCTGCAGTGGATTTCAAACGTTGTGAAGGAGGTAAAGAGATTTCTATTTCCTTGGAGAAAATATTTGTAAAAAGTTGAAGAACTTTAAAGTGCCTGTGACATCAAGTACCTGTAACAAACATGAATACATTTTTGGAAAGACAACATTAAAAACATATAGCAAAAATAATCCACTCTGTTGTGATGAGCAGTTGTTGAGATATTTGCATGTGAACTAGGGTTGGGCGTAATCGTATAGTGTGCAATTAATCGTCAGAAAAAACATTAATCGGTTAATTTTTGGCACTTGATTAATACGATTAATGCCACCTGGCAGACTGACCGCTTGGTGTTCTTCTCTGCTTCAAATATTAACAAACATTAAAAAAAGTTGTGTAATTTATTTATCTATCAACACAATTTAAAGTTTGATGTATAGCCTGAAGTCTGTAATTTTGACAAATTTGAACAGATTTTTACGAAGAGCCAATTTTCTCCCTATAAAATGGTCATGTGA